GATATGTCAAGGAAGAAAATATTCCCATTACTAAAAGTTGTGAACTGCTAGAAATATTTTTAATTCCTCATTTTTATCTTGCAAACCAGATTGCTCATTTGAAGCATCAACGTCTGTTATCTCACAAGATATTGAAAAAGGTACAGTTTGAAGGCTTCTTAATTGTGGTTTCGCATTACAGATGATGTTTGGAAGCTATTTAAGCATCATTTTTTGCAGCTTGTGAGCTATTACTTTGTTTTGCAGGATACTTCAACCATCTCTAACTCGGCACATCCCAAATCTAAAGTTACTGTTCCTAGAGAACCTGAACTGGAAACTCTGCAGAGGGCACAAAGGCGAACGTATGCTTTTAATTTAATTGTTTGCTTTCTTAGAGGATGTTTGGATTGGTTTATTTTAAGTGTTTATTGGCTTTTAATCACTTTTCTAGTTTTTGTGGTGTTTGGCAATGATAAAAAGTGCTTAAAGCACATACTCTTAGGCTAAAAGTTGGTATTACCAATTTATGGCTTTTGGCTTTTAGCTTATAAGCTATTTTTTAAAAGCCAATCCAAACATCCTCTTAGTCTTGTATCTTAGTATAAAACTGCTTCTGGTACTAGTTGGTAATCAGCTCTCGGGTCTTTCTGATTAAAAGTTTCAGGTGCAACAAGGACTCAGAGTCAAGTGAAATCACAAAAGCCAAAACCCAAATGTTTAAAGCACGGCCCGTGAACAGAAATGTTGGTACTCCAAGTAGTGCTCCCTTTTGAAAACATTTCAATAACATGACTTCTCCACTTAATCTTTCATCTGAGACTTGTCTGTTTGTGCTTTTTGCAGATTCTCAAGGCCCCTGCATTACCTCCTCTCAGAAAGACTAGAGCACCGTTGCCTGAGTTTCATGTAATTAATCATTGCTTTTTCCACTGCTCCTATTTCTCACATTGATGTTTAATCAATTAAGCTTACCTCGGAAAAGAAAACACGATTACTTCCCAATCTGGGTCTCCTTAGTTCGTAGTCTGCTCATCAGTTTTTTCAGTTGAAGATATGGATAGTGCTGCTCAACCTTCATCTTATGTAGGATACTGCTAGTGTATATTTTTTTCATATTTTATCCTGTCACGGAGTATTTAGAAAAGTTATTGGTGTTCCATACTATTGGTGTTTGTGTCTAAACGCTCTAATTGGTGAGGGGGAATGAATTGGCACAATACACATTATTTATAGGTGTCTTTAGATTGTCTGTTGGCCATAGTGATCTTTTGGCTTTGGGGAGTAAACTAAGCTCTTTAGAAGAAAGTAAATTGAGTCCTTTTCTCTTTTTAAGTGTCCTGACTAATTTGTGTATGCTCTAAGTTTTCTTGCACTTAACTGATGCAGCTTATGATTAAATCAACATTGCAACATTTGCATGTATTCTGCAACTTTAGTTTCTATGCTTTCAATCGATGGGAACTAAGTCAGCTAACTCTTTCTTTTGTTTTATGGGTACTGCAGTTATCAAGCACTCTAAATGCTGATTCTGCCACACAGAATGCTTTAGTGGACTTTAAAAGGTGAGATGGGCTTCTTGACTTCACCAGTCCAGTAACTATACGCGTAAGAACAAAATTAAAACTGTGACGTTCTTAGTTTTTTAAACTGCTCTTAACTATTTTCAGAGATCTCATGAGACAAAATGCATATTTTCCTCTTGGAAGCATGTAGAATCTTTTCATGAATCTAGTTAACTTTATGATTCACCATATAGAATTCAATCTAAAAGCATCACAAAGTATCATTCCGTGTATAGCAAGTCCAGCTTGTGCTTATACTGTTTGACTTGATTCTCAGACCAAACACTCAAACTGCTGTTAAGCAGGGGAAATCTGTAACATCACTCAAATCAAGATCTCATAAATGTAACAAGGTGGCATATTACCTGACTTATGTTATCCTCTTCTAGTCTTTTCGACTTTTGACTACATGGTATATGCTTAAAGATCATGTCTTTATACAGATCTTTCCAAGCAAGGAAGATAATGTCATAGGTGAAGACATTGGACAAGAAAGTACCTACTCAATGGTAACACATGTCATATGCTTTTGATAGACTTCCCATTAAATGTGTCTTGTCCTCTTTTGGTTCTTTTCCTTGTTTCCTCTTATTAAAGGTTAATGTATCCTTATATGACAGGACTCTAGATCCATATTTGATGAGAAACTTTCAGTGCATCCATCAATTGAACTGTTTAATAAGGTACTAGTTTCAAATGATTATGCAGGCCATATTGAATTCCTCTGAGGGTGTGTACTACCAATAACACAGTAGACTGAATGTATCGGACTTTTATATATTTTCGCAACTTACTCATGTCTCAGCCAAAAGACTCTAATCTTGTTTCATTTTTAATCCTAGTTATCCCTTAGATCTGAGAAGAAAACAAGTGAAGTGTCCCACCCGAAAAAGAATCCCTCAGCAAAGGTGAGGCTAAAGTTTCTTAGGGAGGACTTTTTTTTATTATGCAGATGAATTACTTCTAATACCCACTTTTCTTATATAGGAGTTAAAAGAGAACGCTCCAAATTGTTTGCAGCTCAAAACTCGGGTATGAAGAATAGAAAGATGCTAGATTCTTTTAACTGTTGGCTGCAACTTCTTCTAATTGACATTTCAATTATACAGAGATGTGTTGGAAAGCCAAATCAGTGTGCAGCAGAGAGGGGCACTACCAGGATTGGGTGCCAGTCCAGCATGAACAGGTATCCTATTGCTTGAGTTTCATAAATAGGAAAACAGAAAGTCCACAGAAGCACTTCTTATCAAGATAGAACTAGAGCTTCTTTTGTTTACTTTTAGAGTTAATAAAAGGATGCTTAAACATATCGCTGGATCCTTTGAGGCCTTGTGCCACCATAGTCTTAAAGTTATGGACTTGGAATTAGAAACTATTGCTTTACACCATTTAATTCCCTTTGGTTAAAATTCATGAAACCCTTGAAGTGTTAGTCAGTACTATTTTTATCTCTTGTTTTATCAAATGATATTCTATAATAATGACTTGCCGTCCTTTAAAATTGAAACGCATCCCAGCTTGCCATTTGTTTGAAAACAAGGTTGACGTTAATCTGGCAATTGCATCTACACATGCCTTGTCACTTCCATGGCGACATACTTTGTCGTTTCAGTTTTTAGCCTTTGTTTGCTGATAAGGGATTCGAGGCCTGAACCAGAAATAAAAAGGTCTCATAAGTCATATCATGTAATGGTAGAGCTGTTGAGCTCAATAGAACAATGAAGAAAGGAAAAGAAAATAACAAGGAGAGAATTAAAATTGCATAATCATCGACAACTATTACATGTACTGACTCCCTATTTAATCTGCTCAGAAAAGGAATAATCTAACTAACACATTCAATGGGTGACACGTGACAATCTTCTAGAGACTACTATTATACTATTAGCTAGCGTATCTAATGCAGGATCTAACTATTGGGCTGACTTCTTTACTACTGATGGCCCATACTGACTTCACTTGGTGGCCCAAACTAGCCTGAGCCCAAGTTGCCTTCCTGTTCTCTACATATCACAAAAGAAAAATAGAAAAAGACAACCTAGAGATTATTATTGCTAACTGTTGAAGTTTGGCAAAATGCCAAAGTCCCACATTGGTTGGGAGTTAAGTTTGGGGGGGATTTTTCCCCTATAAAAGAAGGCCTAATGTTTAGGATTGAAATACACCTCTCATTTGCCTTCTCATCTGTTTAAGGCATTTGTATCTTCTCTCTTTAGTATTATTTCACTTGTATTTTTGGAGTGAAATAAAATATTGGTTGTGTCCGAGGAGTAGGCAAAATTAGCCGAACCTCGTAAATTCTGGTGTTCCCTTTATTGTTGTTTTATTGTCTTATTTATTATTTGGTGGCTGTCATAATTTTTGGTATAGTAGTTGTGACTTATTCACACTATATACATTTGGCTTCCGCAACACTAACTTGCTACCTTAGTGTTTGTCTTATTTTTTGTGTTAATCTTTGCGTCTAACTTGCACATTGATCTCTCAGGAGCTTGGGAATTCGATGACAATCTAGCGGTTAACATTTGCGGTTGTTGAATTACTGCAAGTTGTTGCTTGGATCTAGGATGGGTCCCCCACTTGCAGAGACCTCTGTTTCATGGAAGGTAGATCCTCCTAATTCCGGGAGTTATTTGGAAATATTTGTCTTTAGTTATAGGAAATAAGACTGTCCTCCACACTTGCAACACCAAAATTTTGTGGCAAGCACTGTACAGCAAGTCAAATGTAGTGTATTCCTTTTGGTATGTTATGTACATCTACAAGGTACATGTGCTAGGATGGGGATTGCAGTCTTTTAACTACCCAATATATAAATGTATACAACTCTAACAGTTCAAATGAAGTTACACAGAGGGAAAGACTGCTTCTGTCTGTTGCCCAAATCCTCCTTTACTTTGCAGCTTCCATTACCCAGGAACAATTTTGTGGTGTCAACATCCTTTTCTCCGTCTATTTGTTAATTACAGGGAGTGCATCCAAGTTTCATTCCACAAAGCCCTTCAAGATATGCAAAGTCCACTTGGACTTCGTCGTGTCTTTGAAGGCTATACATAACAGGCAGCATACATGAGATTGTGCACCATGAGTTGGCTTCACAAACTCTTGGCTTTCTGCAGCTGAAGGTTCAAGTTGTAAAGGAATGAGATAGTGTTGGAATGACAGCAGAAAGTGGCTAGGTATGGCAAGGCAGTGGTCTGTTTTGCCTGTTACCTTCCTCCGCATTAGTGATCACTTGGTGCACTTACGCTTCTTATCTACTGTTTGACTTCTCCTTAAAAATACTTCCACTCGGAAGGAAAAAAGTTCTATTTGTCTTCATTTGAAATAGGCAGATCTAACGAATAATACCACTTAATAGAACCTACTTTACTACCAACTTTTTTCGGTTTACCATTCATGAAAGCAAAGATGTAAAGAGGCAGTGAAACTAAAATATGACGTCAGATGCAAAAGTAGACTGCTAAATTTAATGTGATTAAATAGCACTCTTTGCACTCCTTTACATGGACAAAAACACAAGTCCTAGATGGAAATAGATCTCAACATAGATTGTACAGAATTAACAACTTTACTGGGTATAGATCTGACCTATTCTGTATCTCGCCCACCATAAAACATTAAATCTATAAATGTGAAATAACCTTAACCATACCGTGTGCCTAAACATCTAATATGTGAAATCTCTAGCAGCAAAAGAACTTTGGCAGCATCTTTTCAAGATTCATGATCTTTGGTGGATATTAAGTTATATCAGTCAACCCATGTCAAAAGGTGTTTTTGGATATAGCTTCTCGAAATCTAACGAGCCACTGTGCATCGGAGGAATTGTCATTCTGCTGGGCTTGCGGTAGCCCTTTCCCAAGCACAAACTTTGTATAATCAATGGATTTGGGAGGGTCTAAACAAGGTTTGGTTGGTGGGGGAGGAAGCAAGGAAACAAGTACCCTAGCAACCTCATGCATCGTTGGCCTCTCACACGGGAATCTCTTTGTGCACAGCAACGCAAGCTGAAAAGTCTTCCTCACATGCGTTAAATCCATGCATGTAACAGATACTTCAGGATCTACAGCCTCCATCACGGTGTTATTATCCGCCTTTGACAATATCTGCAACACAAATTAAATTAGCCAAATCTAATGTAATAGGAGTGAAATCATATACAAGTAAAATGGTAGAGCAATTAGTGGAGAATAATACCAGCTGATGTAAGTTTAAGTCATTATGAACAGGTTTTTTTCCTGTCAAAAGCTCTAGGAGAACAATGCCAAAGCTGTAGACATCTGACTTTTCAGTTAACCTGGATGTTCTGGCATACTCAGGGTCAATGTAGCCTATGGTGCCCAAGACAAAAGTTGATGCATGAGTTTTTGCAGTAGGGATGCATTTTGCAATCCCAAAATCAGAGAGATGAGCCTCGAAATTTTCATCCAGTAGAATGTTTGAAGATTTCACATCTCTGTGGATGATTCTTTGGTTGCAATCATGGTGAAGATAAGCAAGACCTTGAGCAGCTCCAACAGCAATTTTCAAACGCGTTTCCCAATCAAGCTTCACCTTTTTGGATGGCCCTATGACATAGATTCAGTTAATGATTAGCCATTTCCAAATCTATACAGATCTAGAGCGTCATTCTCTGACAGGGAAGAAACAACAGTAATAAACATTAACTAATTAATCATCAGTATAACATGAATATGTTTCATAAAAGATAAGAATAAAGAGGCTACTAACCATGCAGAAGATCCCAGAGTGAACCATTCTCCATGTAGTCATAAAAAAGGAGATTACCATGAGGAGAAAGTGAGTAACCATGCAAGCTAACAAGGTTTCTGTGCCTGATGCTTCCAATTGTCTCCAGTTCAGTCTCAAACTCACGCAAGCTGTGCGGATGAGTGTACAGTCGCTTGACAGCAATTGGTCGGGAATTTTTCAACACACATTTATATACAGTGCTGGAAGCACCATATCCTATTATGAATTTCTCACTCAAGTTCTCTGTAATCCGCATAATGTCATCATATGTATGGATTGCCATATCCATGTGGAGAACCACAAGTTTGGGAGAACCTACGTTATTAGAAGGAAAAGGGAAAAGGGTAACATTAAAACTTGAAATTTTTGAAGTACAAAAGAATAGAAAAGCCATCAAATAATTTCAACCTTGATTACTTTTAGATCCCTTCAGAAACTGATGTGGTTGATTGGACTTGTACACAGCAACTATAACCATTGATAAAAGAGCTATTAAACCCAATGCTGTACAAACAACAGCTGTTCTGGAGAACAAAGCTGCAATGAAAAGATCACAAGTCATTTCGAAGCACATGATAGTACAATACCAAAAGATTTGGACTCTAATGCTCAAAAATGAAGCATACCTTTGGACTTTGGTGCATAGGGGTCACATATTGAACCTCTCCAGTCGCCACAAAGTAATGGGTTCCCCACAAAGCTGATGGTTGCAATAAGGGGGTCGTTCACTAGTGCAAATGAGTGAGTAATGAAACAAACTAATTTATGTACAAAAGAATACCTGTCAGGCGTGAACCGCGAGAAATTTCGTGACAGAGGAACAACACCACTGAAATTGTTGTAGGAAATATTCCTGATGGAGAAAGGCATGGATAAGTAACTCCAACAAGATTCAGAATGTGTATGAAGGAAAGGAAAAAAGAGATGAACTCACAGACTAGTTAGGCTGAAACAATTGGTCAATTGGTCCGGGATTACTCCACTAAGATCGTTAGCAGTCAATGTACTAGAAAATGCAACCGAAACAATAAGTGTGTTAGAACTGGTCCTGATATTGAAGACAAGCTAATTAAACTCTACATCAATGCACTTGAGAAAAACTGAATGTGCTTACAGAGTGATCAAGGTCTGCAACTGCCCTAGTTCTTTTGGGATGCCACCAGATATCTTGTTGCATGACAAATCACTGCAAGTATAAAAACCAGTCTCAGCACAAGAAGATCAGTATACTAAAAGATCTATGTATTGTAGGCACTGTAACCAAAGCTCTCTGCAGAAACTCACAGGGTCTGTATACTTTTCAGATTGCCAAATTCTACAGGAATCTGTCCGTTAAGATGATTGCTGCTAAGATTCCTACAAGGTGCAATGACATTGATTATATTCAAGTCACAAGATAATATAAACTTCTGGAACATCTAAATGGCTAATATCTCACAATGTTAGAAGATGCTCCAAATCTCCAATAGAACCCGGGACAGACCCAGAGAACTCATTGTTAGACAGATCCCTAAAGACATACCAGTGTTAGTATGAGGAGTCACTTGAATTACGAAATTAAGACAGACGGTCAAGAACTCACAATGTATCAAGGTTGATGATTCGCCCAAGCGCAGAAGGTATGCGACCTTTAAATTTATTTAATGAGAGATTTCTGCAAGGTACATCAACATGTGTGTTATCATATGAACAGAATTCAAACCAATACCAACCAAAAGGTTGAAACATAACTACAACATACAGGTATGTCAGGCTCTCTAGATTCTTGAACCCGGAAGGAATGGACCCGTTTAAATTGTTACCATGAACATTACTGAAAAAGAATTATTATTAGAATCACTATGAAGAGAATGGCGAAGGAGAAAACATTCAAAAATATAAGCAAAGCCTTACAATTGATTCAATGCTGTGCAAGAGCTGATATTTTCAGGAATTGGTCCCTCCAACTTGTTATTTGCAAGATTCCTGGTAAAAGAAAGCTAAGAAGCTGATATTCAAAGAAAAGCAGAATATGAATTATACTGCAACTAGTATAAAAGGCTCACAATTCAAATAACTGATCCAGTTTGCCAAGTTCGGGAGGAATTTGACCAACTAGCTGATTGTCATTTAATTGCCTGTAAATAAGATAGATTAATGCATAAAGCAACATATAGCGTCTGCACGGTGTATGCTAACAAAACCACTTACAAGTAACTAAGTTTAGACATATTTCCCAGCTCTGCTGGTATCGGCCCTGTAAGTTTGTTCCCATGCAGGTAGCTGTTGAATGTAAAAGTGAATCAAACAAATCTAGTCAAACGCAAAAATATATGCATTCAAATGGAGGTGAACTTACAGCTTCCCAGTGTAGGATAAATTGCCAAAGATTGGAGGAATCGGTCCTACTAACTCATTTTCACTCAAGTCCCTACAAAAGAGTGATGTCATGCAAGATTTTGACTTATAAGCGGTAACTACTGAGATTGGAGTTGATAAAAAAGAATTTATGTAGTAGAATGAATACTCACAAAACAGCAAGGGCTTGCATTAGACCAATCACTTCCGGAATCTTACCAGTCAGCCTATTTCCTTGCAAAGACCTGTTGAAAAGACCACAATCTTATTTATTCACAGAAATGAACCCGAAAACAGAATAGACAAGGTAGAAACAACAGCTAAAAATCACTTAAAGCAAAGTTCACTAACAAGGTGGCCACTTGTAAAAACCCAATATTGTAGGGAATCTCTCCAGTAATTTGATTGTAAGAGATATCCCTGAAATTGAGAAAAAAACAATTTTGTTAGCATTGAGCAGCAGTAGCAGAAAATTTATAGTATCACATAATAAGGGCAAGGGAAGGAGACTGACAGTATCTCAAAGCTTGTACAATTTCCAATATTATCTGGAATTGTTCCGCTGAGGTTATTGCCCCGCACATCACTGAAATAATATGAAACTTGTGAAGTCAGAATTATAATAGAGATATAACACCAGGCGGACGACAAAACATTATGTAGAAAATATAGCAGAGCACATACAAATACCACAAGCCGGTCAACTGGCACATATCAGGGGACAGTGTTCCTGTCAACAAGTTGCCTCTTAATCCACTGCAAAACAGAAGGAACAGAAACATTGTAAATTTCACAACTTAAAAAGGATCTTCAAACACCAAAAGAATGTACTCACAGATATTGCAGAACTTCATTCCAATAGATCAACCTTGGTATCTCACCAATGAGCTGGTTTCGAGCTAGATCACTTTATCAATTAAAAAAACCATCTTTTAATCATTGCTATTGTCAAAATATTTCAAAAGAGACAACTATATCAAGTGATCTCACAGTGTCTTTAGGTTAGGGATTTGGGTTAGCGTGGATGGGATTGGACCAGTCAACTGGTTGTTTTTCAAGGTCCTGCACACCACGGAGAGTTCATCAGGTGTGAATTTAATTTATTCATCATGACAAAATTTTAACTAGTTATCAGAAAACATCAAGATAATGAGGTTGTACAACTCACAATAACTCTAGCTGTTTTAGCTTAGAAATTGAGAAAGGTATATCTCCAAAGAGCAAGTTATCAGACAAATCACTGCAGAACATAGCAACCATTTCATGAAAACCCAGTGTGAGCATTACAAAACATACTGATAAAAAAAAAATCAAAAGCAACAGGGTGAAAATTGTTTACAGAAAGATGAGAGAAATGCAGCTGCCAATCTCATCAGGGATTTGACCAGTTAATTTATTTCCCTGGAGGTCTCTGTCAATATCATTGAAATATTACACATCAGCATGGACGATGAATATCCAGCAATTGACATAGAACAATTAAATACTAAAAAGAGAAAATGAACCATACATAGATTGCAGATTTTTCAAATCTCCAATGGCTGGTGAAATTTCCCCGCCTAAGTTCAGATTTGACAGATTCCTCCAGCCAACAAAGAAAGCAAATTCAGCTAAGAATCATATATTTTCAAACTACTATAATAATAAAGTTGTAATACTACAGCTAGGAGCTCATCAGATTCCAGCTACTGTTGCTCCGGTTAGGAGACAAGGATGGAGAGCATACAGCGCAACAACTGACATGGAGAAATTGCCACACAACACGCCTCGCCACGAGCAAAAATCCTCATTATGAACATCATCCCAATCTAGCAACACGTTTGCTACGTTGCTAAACGATTCCTTGATCGACATCAGAGCTTTGCCTACCCAAATAGTTAGAGAAAGTATATTTAGCATTTATCAAATTAGTAGGTAGATACTAAAAGCTGGCGTCTGTAAAGTTAAATAACTCGGAACTTTTTTTTATCAGAGCTAAACAACAAGGAATGTTACATAAGAAACGTAAAATAGAAATAAAATTTCGATGATAACCTTGGTATTTCCCAACACTACAACAGAGCGAAGCAGAGGAGCTAGAAAAAAAAACTCCAGATGTTGAAAAGGGAAAAAACGAAGAAAATACAAAAGGAAACACTAGTAAGTTTGAGAATCCAACGCGATAGAAACAGTATTACAAAATGACCCCGAGGCAACACTGCAGTATTCTCAATGTGTGAAAAAGTAGTGAGAGTTACCTTCTTCGTTCAGAGATGAAACGATCGGAAAAAGAAGCAATATAGACCAGAGTACTGCGCGCGACCGGAATTTCATCTTCAGCACAGCGAAATTCAAAACAAATATGACCGGAGAAGAAGATGAGCTAGCTAGCTTGCTAGAGTAATAAGAATGTGTGTTATGTGAGAGAGAAGAGCAAATGCAGAAGAGTAGCAGAAGCAGGCATTTGGCGTGAAGTGAGAGAGTGAATATTGAAATGCGAAGTGTGTGTCTGTGTTTTTAATGTCACCAGTCACTCACCCAAACCCAAACCCAGTAGAGTGTGTGTGTGTGTGTGTTTTCATGAAGACAGAGAAAGTTGCTAATGGTGGTTGCAGTATCAGAAACCAGTCTCGTATAAAGAGAGAGAAAGAAAAGCTATAGTACTACGAGTATAGTAAACGGCAGTGAAACGACGTTAGTTAATTACTGTAGAAAATAAAAAAGCAGTCGCAGCGGCCGTCACCCGTACTACCATTTCCCAAAGTGGTTACTTATTATTTTGACAGCTAAAGTTCGGGATTTTTCATCTCCTATCCACGCTCTTTAGTAGCGCGTAAGAATGTTTCTCTGTTCCATTACAGCGCGTGTTTGAGTAGGGAAAATGGGTATTAAAAAGGGAGTGCTTAAAATCTGAAGTTGATAAGGCAGGGGACAGAAAGTGATTGGTTTGGGAAATAGGGAGTAAAAGTTACTCAAAAAATTATAATTTCCAAAAGAAGTAGGATCGCATTGGAATAAAACAAGAGAAGTGGATATGAGAGACATTCCAATGAATAACATTAGAGAAACTATTTTCAAGAAAGAGATCATCATGTTTTTGTTTTCTCAAGGAAAGAGAAAATTGGCAATTGCTTGCTTTCTTAGCAAGGAAATATAAATGAATGGAATCAAATTCTTACTGATATTAATCCAAATTTACACCAGTTTGTATAGAAACGCACTGAATTTACATTTTGAGTGTTGTGTTTTTACATGGAATTGGTAAATTAGCATTTTTTTTCGCCCTGTCATTTTGACTACACAGTTTTCCCTCTTTTTTACTTTGCCTTCAGACTGAAAAGATCATGCGTATCGAGCATGTGAAGATATGTGTGTAATAATGTAATGTTTGACCTCTTCTATGACTACTTTTGCTGCAATAATTGAATAATAACTAGTAAACAATAATGAAACAATAATAAAGACTTGTTGCATAATTATCTTTGATGAGTTACCGGTGTTACACAATCTAGTGATTGCAACTTGGAATGAGAATCAATCTAGCAAGCTTCCATTCAACTTCTCTGGTGTGTTGTTCAATGATTCCTTTGTAAGAAATCTATCTATTGCAACTTGAATTTTGTGCAGTCCATTCGGGGATATTCCACAAAATTGGAACGAGCTTGTAATTTACCAAACTTGAATTTGTACCTATGCACTAATTCAAATTTCACCAAATGCTATATTTTCTTATTCCGTCAAAAGAAAAAGAAAAAAGAAAAATATTAGTGCTAACATTGATAATAAGTAGTTAAAAGATTGTAGAATATTAGAAAAAAATTACTCCCTCCGTTCACTTTTACTTGGTACGTTTTGACTTTTCACGTCCCTTAAAAAATAATAAATAAAGTGTATAATTTACTATGATACTCATATTAATTGATTCATATTTTATTGAATTTGAGAAAATGATTTGAAATGACTAATAAATAATGTGGGTATAATAGGAAAAAAATGTATCTTCTCTTGATATGCGTAAAATGACAAGTAAAAATAAAAAGAAAGAATTATAAGAAAATACACATAACTTCACACCATAACAAAAAATGACCCATATTTTTAAGTTTTACCCAACATAGCCCATACATATTTTGAAAGCACTAGCAAATTCAAATTTTGTATTCTTACAACCATTGTTTGTAAAAGCTATGGAGTTAAATCTTTGTTCTCACAACCATTGATTTCACTTTCTCTTCTTCTCACATCTTCTACATATGTTTCAAGGGGCCGTGTATTTTCTGTTTCTCCTCTTGTATCATCTGCTTGCAATGTAAGAAAATTGAAGAGTAGAAGTCCACCATTGAAGACCATTCAAAACTTTGCTTTTGAAAATGGATTTTTTTTTGAATTTGTTAGTTGTTTGGATTGGGTGTTGTTCCAATTGATTGAAAATATCAAAAGTAGTACAAAATCTAAGTTTGAAGTGATTTGGAGTAAACTTGATCAACATTTGAGTTAAATTTCAAAAAAGACGTAAGGAAGAAGACGAAGTCAATTTTTTGTATAATTATGTATAATAGTGTATATGAGTGTAGAAACGCACCTTATACACTTTTATACACCTTTATACAAGCGTTTGTAGACAAACTTCTTCCACGATTTTCAGTTACAATTCTTGTTCAAAACCAATCCAAATCTCCATTTAATGACTTCAAATTTTATATACAACCTCTTATAACTATTTCTAACAAGTTTAAATAACACTCACTCCAAATTTCTCACATAATCAAATTCGAAATTTAAACCCACATATTTAAGTTTGTTAAAAATCTAATTTTCACCACTCAAATGAATTTGGTTTGTTGAAGTAATATTTGAGTCACAATTACGGATTCGAAAATTAATTTAAAAGCTTGCGGAATCTTTTTTAAAAATTAAATAGTAATTTTGAAAACATATTGGAGTTGGATGTTGAATCTTAGCTTATTATTTTTGACTAGTTGGTTGTAAATTAAAATATGGGCTATAAAATTAAAAAGTAGAGAGCCCAATTATTCTAATATAAAAAAAAATTAAATAAAAATCTATTTTTAATGTATCTACCAAGTAAAAATAAACGGGTGTTTTTTACTAATTGAGACAGCAACCTGCTGGCTACAATAATGGATCGAGACTTTTGCAGTAGTAATTAACTTAATAACAGAAGTCCTTGTATAAAGCTGCTGTCCGTTCCTTTTCTGTTATTGAAACTTGATAAGTGAAAGACATTAAATTGAGATATAATGGTATCAACTACATTAACCTCCATGTATCACTGATTAGTTTATTACCAAAAAGTCCCTTTCCCTCTCTCTCTAACGGCTAAAATTGACGGTGTTTCTAAGGTTAACTACTTGTCATCAAACAAGTCTAAATTGGACGTTAATTTATAAAATATATGATTGAATTTTTTAATTTATTTCTACCTAAGGGGCAAGGACTAATGGTCCATCCTGCTTCTTTCTACCTAAAAGAAATTTAAACCAAATAAATACAGAAAAAACTACATAGTATAGGCGCTCCCCAAAATGATAAAAAAAAATATCTATTTTTGTATTTTATATATAATATATACTATTATTTTATGTATATTTGTCTAGCGAATGTAACTATTTTAGACCAATCGGCCAACTATATAGCTTGCCGTTTGACATATCGGGGACCGACCCACTTAGAAGGGGAACATCCCCTGAGCCGGGACCAAAATGTAAGCAGGCTACGACCTTGATTTGGGGAGGACGAATAGTAAATTTCAACCTCCCAAACTTGTTTCCTGTACAAATATGCTCTCCCAACAGTAACAAATTCTGACGCTCAACAAAAGTTATGGACCATGGTATATGTTACGCAACGCCTTCCTGATGATCTTTGGAAGGGCAACGTAAGGCTAAGCAACCGATGNGTATAGCATGACCTTTAAATAAACATAGGCGCATGTTTGAATCGCGGGATCAGACGGTTGTAGGATGACTAGGTAAGAATTTTACACAATGTCTAAGTTGAAGTTGAAAAACAAATACTCAAACTTGTGTTTAAAATTAAATTTCATTTCAAAAAAGGAAATTGAAGCGTTACAAGTCGAAAACTAATGGAGTATTTCATTTGATATACATATTCAAATCAATATTTCATTTGAAGTTTAAATATTAGTAAGACTTTTACTATTTACAGTATTTCATGACCAAACAAGTCATTGCAAATTAAAATTCGCCAATGTGTTTCTAAAAATTTTTTTTCAACGAAATGATGATGTTTTAATCTTTTTTCCTCTAATCACTTGCATCATTTATGTATGCAAAACTTTATGTTAACTGCAAAGTTCTTTACCTTTTACATAAATATTTGTATAGTCGTAATTAAAGCAGTGAGCAGTAAGGCTGAATTCACGTAGGTCAAAAGCTAAAAAAACAGAAGCATTTAAATTCCACCCTCTTCAAATTTTTACCTTCCTACTCTTTGGAAATCAACAAAATCTTTAAATCAAACTTTTGGAAGTACTTTTGAAACAACCCAAATATGAAAGGAAGAATCCACTTTTACAGAGATTTGCCCCAGCCATTTGCATGAAAATAATCAGGACAGATTCATAAATAAGTCTCCGCACACGTATCGTTATCCCAAAAAAACCGTACCCTTCAACAGGAAAAAGAACCCAACCCCTAAACTAAGACCAATGTACAGCTGACCTGCTTAGGCAGTACCATTGGCAGCTTTTAAGCAGCCAATAAGGACCGTCGCAGCGGCATATCCGCCGCTAACCCTCCGCCGTCGTCAGCCTTTGTAGGCGTGATAGAAATTAAAGTGGTGTCGAAACTTTTTTGATGCTTTTGGCAAAAAGCACGATTTTAATGATACAAAAAAAAGGTTATATAATCAGGTAAAACGCAGTATAGTACTGCATACTCCCTCCATTAGTCGTTAAAGTAAAATGCAGTATAGTACTGCATACTCCCTCCATTTCAATTTATGTGAACCTGTTTGATTGGGCACGGAGTTTAAGAAAAAAATGAAGACTTTTGGAATTTATGATCCTAAACAAGTCCAAATGGGGCTCAGAGTATTTGTGTGGTTATAAAAGCTTCTCATCAAGGGTAGAGTTGTAACTTTAAGCTAAATTGTTATCAAATTTAGAAAGAGTTCATTATTTTTAAAACAGACAAAAAAGGAAATAGGTTCACATAAACTGGAACAGAGGGAGTATTATTTAAAAATTATTTTTTTTAACTAATTCACAGTACTATACTGCGTTTTACTTAAACGTAGTACAGTACTGCGTTTCACTTATTAATGCCCAGTTCTGAAGGAATGCAGAGAACATTTGTTTTTTTTTTGTAAAACGCAGTATAATACTGCGTTTTACACTGAAACGTACTATTATACTGCGTTTTACTATGATTTTTGGCCCCACCAATAATTAACTGACATAACAATAATTTAAATACATAAAACGTAATATTGTACTGCGTTTTACATAGAAAAATTCTACACCCCAAGCTCGGACTTGCCTTATTTAAAGGCGTTTCAATTTTATGAAAATCCATTCAATACTTTACTTCAAACATACGTTCATACTTCTCTCTTTTTCTTATCAATCATTTTTTTACAATGTCTG